TTCAAGCTAAAATGTAAGAGGCTATACCTGATCTCTTTGTATCAGAGATTTTCTTAACCAGGGTTGCAGGGGGGGGTAAAACCCCCCCTGCAACCCTGGTTTGCATTTGTATAGCTCACAGCATGTTCATTTACATGTTAAAGCCTCCCCTAGAATTCCATGGGGGGGAGGCATGGGGGGAACACTGCCTAAGAAAGTCCACGTCAATTTCTGACAATTTACGGGAGTTTTCGGCGAAGCCTGCAAATTGCCGTAAACTGCCGCTAACCTAAAGTTCCACGACAATCTACAGTGCCGCATATTGAAGAAAATCCCACTTTTCATGCAGTGTGGCAGGGTAACAACCCACGGGCCAGCATGCCAAGGCTGGAGACTGAACAATACTGGAAAAAATCTGGGAGAAAAAAGCATCACACAGCAATGATGTGCTAACCATGCGAACAACCCTGAACAGGCTCAATCACAATGGCAGACCTCCAACAAAGAACTGTACAGCACTAAGCCAAGACATGATACACAGCTACCAGCTGCAGAAAACGACTTTTCTCTATAAATGCCTAGCGGAACAAATGACCTGGCTGTTGGAGAGTGGGACCCACCCTAAATGGAAGACCAATGGCAAAACAGTCCTCATAAAGAAAGACCCCCAGAAGGGCACAGTCCCAACTAACCATCAGTTAAGCATCAGAGCGGCAAAGACAAGCTGGCACATGGATCAACACGTTACAGAGGCATATATATGTAGCAGCTTCAGTAGGGAGGCCCAGACGTCCCTCTCCCCAGCCACTTGGGCCAATCCCAAGGTGCTCCCAGGCCAACCGAGAAACATAATCCCTCCAGCGTGTCCTGGGTCTCCCCCTGGGCCTCCTCCCGGTGGGACGTGCCTGGAATACCTCACCAGGGAGACGTCCAGGAGGCATCCTAATCAGATGCCCGAGCCACCACCTCTCGATGTGGAGGAGCAGCGGCTCTACTGTGAGTCCTCCCCGGATGGTTGAGCTCCTCACCCTATCTCTAAGGGAGAGCCCAGAGACACTACGGAGAACACTCATTTCAGCCGCTTGTATCCGGGATCTCATTCTTTCGGCCATGACCCAAAGCTCATGACCATAGATGAGGGTCGGAACATATATATATATATATATATATATATATATATATATATATATATATATATATATATATAAATATGCCTCTGTAACGTGTTGATCCATGTATATACATTAGTGGTGGCCACAGATTATTTTTTTCAATGTAGGTTAATCTCACTGTGATGTTGACATAATAAAATGGCTAATTTGAATTTATTTTTCAGGGAAACCATTTACAGAAGAGAGACAAAAAAGATTGCAAGTACAAATTAAATATAACAATAAGATAAGGATAAGAATAAAATAAGATAAGGGTAAAAATAAAACAAGATAAGGATGATATGTAAGAACTACCTCAATCATTTGTAAAAGTAGGTATCTGAACAGGTTTCTCTAGCCAGGTGGTGCATGAGCCAGGGACTTTTATCCTGTTTCCAAAATGCGTCACAAACTGATTGAGCAAGCTTTTATACTATGATAACTGGTGAGTAAAATAAAAAATATTCAATAAAATGTATTTGTGTTTAGTACGTATTTTTTCTGATAAACTTTAATTCTGAACTGTAGGCTGACATAATGGGTCTTGATGAACTGTTTAAAGTTAGTAGCTTTGTGTCAGTCAGCACAAGGTCAATTTCTCCTTTTTCCACCAGTCACTCAGGCAGTCATTTTAATGGCTTGTGAGGCTGTATTAGCCGCAAGGGCTGCTGGGTAATTTCAAGATGGGGAAAACATCACCATTTCATCCTAGTTTTGCGTTAAAATGGGGTTGTTTATATTGGTAGTCTGCTCATGCTAAGCTAAAATTATGTTTTGGGGGTTGCAGTTGTACATGTTAAAATTGGCTTCATTTGGGAGAATGTTTCACCAATTGCATGTAAGCCAACAACAATTTTCTGGATTTTCTGCAATGCATCAATAGTTAATTATATCTTTCAACATACAATTTGACTGTATGATCTGGTTGAACTGTTAAGTGCCTTGACATGACATGTGTTGTGAATTGGCACTAAATAAACAAACTGAATTGAATTGAATTCAACATACAAGGTATGTAAAAAGTAGTGCTTCAAGTCCCTCGGGTGTGTCTGCATTTTCAAATTGAACCTCAATTGTCATTGGCAACCTCCAATGGAGGTGCCTTGCCTTGCAAGTCAATGACTCAATATAATCACCTGTTTATCCTTGGTAGTAAGGATAAACATTTAACCAGTCTGATTTTACTGCCTTTGTAAAGTGCCTTGAGAGGACATGTGTTATGAACTGGCACTACACAGACAAACCAAACTGATTTAAAAATTGCATTTTATTTATTTTTTTACTTATCATCTTATCCCTTATTTGTCTCTGTGTTGAGCTCATAATCTGCCATTTGCCGTCTTGTTTTCCCCTTATATTTACTTTTGTGCTTTCCCAGAGAATCCCTCTTTGTCTCTGCTGCAGAAGACTTTTTTCAGTCCAGTGAGCTGCCACGCTACAGGCTTCTATCCTAAAAGAGCCCTGATGTTCTGGACGAAAGATGGGGAAGAGATTCATGAGGACGTGGAACATGGAGAGATCCTTCCAAACAATGATGAGACCTTTCAGATGAAAGTTAACCTGAATGTATCCTCAATCCCTCCTAAAGATTGGAGGAGATACAACTGTGTGTTTCAGCTCCTTGGCAAAGAGGAAGAAACCATCCAACTGGATAAAGCAAAGATAACAAGCAACCGAGGTAAGGATAAAATGTTTCTGTTACTTTTGTTATATTTTGTTGTGTATTTAATTCATTGTTGTCGGTTTGTTTCATCAACCAGAAATCTCTTCAAAAAGAGATCTTGGATCTCAATGAGACTCTCCATATAAATAAATGTTACATGAAAATAGAAAAAGAAAAACCAGTATATATACTATATGTCATCTCTATGTAGAGCCACAATTATTTATAGGTCTTTGCCATGAACGGCTGTAATGAACTTTTATTAACCATTTTCATTTTAATTTCCTGATGAGCTTTACATTTTTGACAGGCTCTGGCATAACCGCAAACAAGTTTATCTTTTAAGTTATTTACAGATCCTGAAAAATTGGAGTCTAAGCTTTCCTATGATGTCGAATTTGACCATTCCAATGTTAACTTTAAGGAGAAACCAGCCCTTGAACATTCTTTAAAATTATCTTGGAAGCTATCTGGGTGATAACAAAACATGTTAATTTGAATACCTTTGTATTCCACAGGAGCTTCATGTCAACAAACTACTCAATGGTTCCTTGAAACATAAATGTAATTTACTCAACAGCATTACAATATATGTTACATCTGTGCATTACACAAACATCTTTCAGATTTCCCCAAAAAATGACAACCCCAACTTTAACTGTAACACCAAGACACAAGAAAACTAAGTTTTAAAAAAAGAAACTTAAAAACTTTCCATTTACAAAACTGATAAATGTCAACAACTTGTGTTCTTTATCTTTGTTTTTTTATGTTTAAGTGGCATAAAGACATAGTCTGAAATGAACTTGTTGATGTAATTGATAAATGTTTTTCAGCAGTTCATAATTCAATTGGAGGACTAATATGCTAAAAGACCACAGTGTGAATAGTTGTAAATCTACAAGACTTGTGATGCTGTCACTGAGCTATACTTGTCAAACGTTAGGCATATTGTTCTTTAGTCTAACGGATTCCTTCTACCAGCACTTATAGGATGAGTCGTGATTCTGTATTACACTCCACAATATTGCATTTTAATCACTACACTTTATTTGTTTCCTACGGAGCCCATCTGGTGACATGGACAAAAAAATGCTTATAGGATGTAAAGTTGTGACCATGCGTTATTAATGCGTAGGTATGAGATAAATAAGTTGTGGCCACAGGTTATTTGTCAGGGAGCTCCGTTGTGTTGGTGTGGAATACATTCAAGAAAGATGGAGGACATAGAATTGATTTCATTTTATTTTGACCTTGGAATGTACTTAATGATGTCATGTGAGACACTTAATTCGGGTGCTGAAGTCATACGGATTGAGATACAAAGAGTATGCGGACATAGGCCATGTTATTGACCTCACCCAGAAGAAGCTGGAAGAACACAGGAGACTGCATGGTTATAGGTGAATGCACAACAAATGTTAGATGAATGCTATCAGGGCAAAAAAGGAAGATGTACTGTTAATCATTGAATGCTCTATCTCATACTCACAAGTTAGATGTATCAGAGGACTGTTCATTACCATGTGTTTACTGTACTGGTAAGCTGGCACTGAGCTTAACAGCTGAAAAATTATTTTAAAAGCCAAAAAATTCTGCTTATAAATTAGCTGCATGTTGGTCTCCTCCTGATATGGAGATACAGTTGTGTGAGATTTTACTCAAAAACAGGCTGAGTCTAAATACAAAGTTTAACATTCTAAATCCTCTAAAACTGTGACATAAAGCACTGAGTGGTTAGTGCCTTCAGTTTACGCATTTTGCAATTGAACGAAAATATATAAATTTCTTGTTTATCAAACATGGATGGGGTTTTTCACTTTTCCAAGTTTGTGCTATGCCAACTTGTTCATACTTTTCTCTATGGTGCATGACATTTAATACCTTATGATTAAATTAATGCAGTTTGGTCTGTTATGTTTTTTTCTGTTTTGATTTGTTCTTCTTTCTTAATTTACCAGAGAAGCCCAGTATCACAACCACCCCCATAACTGCTGCTGTGATTGGTTCTGTTCTTGTATCCATTGCTGCCGCTGCTGGATATGTGGTCTATAAAAAGAATAGAAGTAAGCAACTTGGATTGTATGTCTCGTATAATATGCTTTCATTGATTTTGTAAATTTATGAGGACATCTGGTACAAAGCACCACTGACTATTTGGTAGTGATTAGAGGACCAGAATGAAGAAGCAAGAATAAAAACTAAATGTTTTTGTTTGATTCGTTGATGTAGATAATATGTTTTAATAAATTAAAGATTAACATATTTTGGCATTAATAAAAGGTAATATAAATTCTTATATTTTGTTTTACAGACAAAAATCTGCTTGTGCCATCATCCTGTAAGAACACCCCCAACATATTTTTTCTCTCAGCTAATTGTGTTGCAGTAATTCAGCGAAATCACTTCCTTTGCATGTTGTGGAATAATTTAATATTGCTCAGAGAGGTGTAAGATGAAGTGATCATACAGTCGTCCTTTAGGTTATTTTAGCAATTCGTTCATTCATTTATTTTATTCATTCAATTTATTTGTATAGCTTCAAGTTAAAACACATGTCATCTCAGACCACTTCCCATAGACAATTTAATTAAGTCATTCTGACAGATTGGTTAAAAATCCTCTAAAGCCCCTGTCACACCTTAAGGAAAAACAGCTGATTGCATCAAGTCATTGACTCTAGAAGGCACACTCCTGCTGGATGAGCCTGTGGCAACAGTGCATAGTCTCCTGCATTTTGTCATTGACTCTTAAGCAATCCGTCACTCCGAGCGTGCACACATCAACAGCGGAGAAGGAGAAACTCCCTTTTAACAAGAAGAAGCCTCCATTAAAAACAGGCTAAAAAAAACTGATATACAAGAGAAACAACGGTGGCCGGCCCAGCTGCTATTTCTTTCCAGAATAGTGTCATAGCTTAACAGGAACATACAAGATGTAACTACTATGATTAGAACAAGCAGAAACCAGATAAAATAGGGGTTGAAATAGGAAATTCTGCAGAATGGGACTATAGAAATAGAGTAAAGATAAATGATGAAAAGTGGTCCCTATATCCTCCAGCAGTCTAAGCCTATACCAGCATAACTATAGCAATAGCTATAGTTATACCCTGGACCACTAACTATAGGACTGATCAAAAACGAAAGATTTAAGCCTAGTCCTAAAAGTATACAGGGTGTCTGCCTCACAAACTAAAACTTATAAACTGAACTGCTGGTTCCATAGGAGAGATACCTGATAACTTAAGGATCTGCCTCAAGTCAATATAACTGAGTAAATAAACCTAGTTACTACCCATGTCTTCCAGTTGGTGACAAAGACTGCAATTTCTTGTATTATCAAAATTGTGTAGAAAAATAAATGTTCTTGTTTTAAAAATTCAATATGACCACATATTTTGGAAATGTAAATATCATTTTATCTTAGGAGTAGAAGAAATCTTTATTTTTGTAGATGGCCCCAAACTCTGTCTTCAATAAAACGTCTCTAGCCTTGTTTTAGTTTACCTCAGCTTCATGAATGTTTGCATCCATACTGTAATTTCCACCACTTGATCTAGGTTTTCCATAATTTGTAAACCTATTTATATGTTTAAAGGCTCATATGCAGTGTAATGCAAATAAAATCTATTCTTACACCTCTAATGGAATTTCCAGTGATAGCTTTGATGTGGGCATGTTGGTGTAGTATGTTATTTTAAATACCATCTTCAGGTTATCCCCTTGGGTCTTAATAGGTTAAAACAAGTGAAACTGTGTATGTTCATAATAATAAGATGCAGCAATATGTTAAAAATATATTTACCATCTACATCTCTTGCGAAGTTCATCTGCTAACACCTTCTCTTAATGCCAATACTGTTGTCGTATATCTCAGGGTTGTTCTGCTCTCTATTTACTGTGACTCTTTCTGACCTTTCAGACCCTTGGAGAGACTTTGTCCTCAGCGACCAGCTGAATGAGACCTGATGAATCAACGGATAGCTCATTAAATTTACAAAAAATATATTTTCATGTCAAAATACAAATTATTATTGTTCTACTTTTTTTTTAGAAGTAAATCAAATATGAAGAGGTTAACACAACTAATGATAATGAATTGAAACCAGATTTATATCTCTGCTAACACCTGTTGATTCTTGTTGAACACCTGTTGACTGTTTATTATTAGATCAGCTGAAACTATTCATTTGACATCATTGTTAAAGGTTTAATTAAGGTTAAAATAAGTTTAAGACTTTTGTTATGGTATTACTTCTATTTTAAAGTAAGTTGCTACATTCCCGGTGAAGTTGGATCTGTGATTGAATGTACTCTGAGCCAGATGCTATATAGCAGATAAGCTTCTTTAGCCGTTGTTGACTTTGTGGAAGAGGTTTTGCTGGATACATGTATATTTTGGGTCTTCAAGCACAAGAAAACAGAGAAACCAAAGATCTATGTTTAGCTCATCAGTTCTTGTTATGATCATGAAAAAATGGAGCGTCAAAAAAATTATTTTGTCATCGGTGACAAAAACAACACTGCTTGGAAAAGAGAGAACATCAAACAAAACAGCAAACATAGACAACACAGAAGATAAGCTGTATGAGAATAGAGGAACAGACAACAGAGAGCATAACAGCAAAAAGAAGACAACTGACTACCAAATTAAACATCAAAAAGAGTTCAAGAGCACCAGGTATCCCCTAGATGTCCATGTATGTGGAAGGCAAAACCTATGGTGATTAAACAATATTATTCAGATTGGCATATATCTGTAGTGTAGCTTCGTATCTATTATTAGGGTGTATCCGTAAGCATTTGAAACCAAACTCCTGTGGTATGTATGCATGGGCATTGTCGTGCATAAAAGATTTACAAGGCTTCTTTGGAAGGAAAATATGCTGAAAAGCATATTGGCGGCCCCAGGCTCGCCCTACAGGTCCCAGGACCAACTAAGAGTAGAACCCCACCCCATATATCCAAAGGAGCCAAGGGCAGACATAGAGATGGCCGCACCCACCAGAGAAGGGCAGACCGGAGCATCTGGAGCCCGACCACCAATGGGCCCAAACCCAAAGGGTCAAAACCCAGAGGCCACAGTGCCGAGGTACCGTGGGGCCATGGCAGCAAGCCCCTGGACTCTGCCAGTGGCCGGTCATGCCCAAGGTGGACCCGGAAAAGATCCCTGTGTTCCGAGGTCCGGAATTAAATTATTAGTAGTATTAGTGCCTAGAGGCACTTCTTTCTTGCTTTCAGGCAGTCATTTATGAGACATAATTTAATGTTTCCCTGAGGTAATATCAGTAGTCATTCAACACAGTCCAAACTACAGTTAACAGAGAAGCTCCAGCAGTTCATTTAAGGTCAGTGTTTGTCTCTGCCTTCTCAATCCAAAAAAGTTAAAAAAAACAATCCACTGGATTTTGTTTCCTGGTTTGAACACATGGATTGTTTTTTAACTTTATTGGAATGACGATGACGTGGATGACTAGGAATTTTCACCAGCTCTCTTCCTTCTCGAGCCTCAAATATCAACTGGTTTAGGTATGTCAACAAGATGACTTTTAAAATCGAAAGAAAGAAAACCAATAAGAAAGCTGCGTCTTATGGTCATGTATTTACCTATCCCCTTAAGTCCAGAATTACATTTATATTTGTGTTTGTGGTGGATGTAAAGTAGTTTGGATTAGCTATTCCGTTAAAGGTGGAGGTAAATTATTGTTGGTCCTTTCTCATTGTATCAATGTTCGTTTCAGTTCCATTTGTATCTTTGTATTAAAAATCACAGAATATATAAAATATCACCTAAAATACCTGGTTCTCTTTTCTTTCCTGATTTGTGCCTCATTATCCCTCCAGGGATAATGGGATTGCAAGACTGGAGATATTAAAGGTTTTAAACTTCATGGCATAATGGGGAAGACTTCCTAACATTTGAGACACAGACAGAACATGTTGAAAAAGCAGGAGAAAAATGCAATGGAGATAAAATCAAGGCTGGTTATTTGAAGAACCTGTTAACAAAAGATTGCATTGCATGGTTAAAAAATGTATCTGGAGTATGAGATGGCTTTTCTGTACAATGGTAAGACTGATTTTTAAAAATAACAAAAATCAGATTTTATGCATTATCTTTTGGTTGTGCCATGCTGTATATTTAGGTGGTAATTCCCCTTTATTCTTAGAAGGACAATAAATAAAAAGATTTCTGAAAAGTAATTTTTGGGGTGTCAGGAAAGTGGTGTCAGGACAGTAAAATGCAAAGTTGTAAAAATGCCCAAAATGCTGACATAATAATAAATAGTTTTTATCTGGTAAAAAGGTACAGAAAAAAATATTCAATAGTTATTCTAATATTAATATTAATCGGTATTTTGATAAGACATAAATATTAACATATTATTAATATTAAAATTTATTTTTAAAAAAACTTGCATATACCTGATCAAGCATAACAAATTGCAACATTTCTGTGATGTTTTTCACTTTCTATCCCCCGTTTCTCTCCTTTGCTCTCAGTCTTTGGTCTGTTTTCTCAGATTACCCCCTTCTGCATTTTAGACAGAAGCTCAAATTTACTCAAGGTAGTAATGTGAAGAACAATCAGTCCAATAGTCCAAATATAAATGTCAGCATTCACCTCTGAAAATTATATTTCATATGCAGGTAAATTCTGACGCCCTCTGGTGGAGGAATTATTCAATGGAATGGAACAGTGGGGTAAAAAACTTTTGACAAAAAAACTGCAGACTAGATAATATAAAACAAAAAACAAAAGAGTAATAAATAACTGTCAGAAAGGAAAATAATTCTGTACCGTTATTAAAAAAAAAAAGAATAATAAGCCGAAAATGTTCATGCTAAAAGACAGAAATTATTTTGTTCTTGTTATACTCTTAATCATGTATTTAAATCCAAACCTCACAAGAACATTGACATTTTTTTTGCTACGGCCCTCCTTCAGTGTCTCTCCTCCAGAGGTCTATGCTGCTGCAGGTTTGCACCCTAACAG